TTGTATTGTATTGTATGTATTGTACTATTATTATATAATTTGTTACACTGTGGCTGTGTTGTGTGTGTTAAGCTGCTGTTGCACTGCAATTTCCCTCACGGGATCAATAAAGTATCTATCTATCCCACTGCAGCTCTATTTAAGAGCAGCTGCAGCATAACCGTATTAATCTGATTCATGACATGTCAGTGACATGAGCAGTTCAAGAAAACCCGTGATTTTTCAAAATTGACCAACAATGATCTTTGTTACTTGCTAGTTGCTAATTGATCCAAGGATGTCAACTGTATGTTTCTGCGTGGTGCATCCTGATTTCATGAGTCAATGACTTGGATCATCTCAAATAAGCAAAATGTGGACTAAATGACTAAACCTAAGCTCACGAGTTCCTTATTTTGACTGGCAATGCTTTTTCCTGTGAGTTACCAATTGAAATTCAACCAAGGATAGTCTGATTCATCTGAAAAGGCCAACAACAGTGGCACATGTTGCGTGTTATGTTGAGCTTTGATTTATAGGCTCAATGATTCACCATAAGCAGTTTGTTTGATCCAGCACATTGTGACTCAGGATGATGAAGAATCTTTTTAAAGACATAATTTTAAACATACTTAATAACATAAACATAAAGCAGCTCTATGCCTTGCACTTACAAAGGTGCAGGAAACATGGGTTAAGTCATTAATGTAACAAAATTCTAGTTTCTGGAAATTTACATTTCACACTTGTCGTACAGCTTCAGAATATCAAGCTGGATAAGTATATTCTCAAATATACAAAAGTAACACAGGGAAATTCACAGTTGAGTGAAGAGTACCAGTACTTTGAAGAGAAAAACAGTGCTTACATATTTATACTTTTTACAAGTTTTTATGACTTTTAAATAACTGACCATTCATATTTTTATATTATTGGACTGTACATCTACCAATTAGGAATCAGCAGTTGTTTTAAGATATGGCTCTTCTGTAATGAGTCTTGTTCCCACAGTGGGAGAGAATGAGATACATACTGTATACATGCTCCTCCAACACACCTAACTGCAGAGCCATTTGTGATTTCATTCACTGCATGCCACACAGTGCACAACAGCAGAGGAAGCGCCATACATAGGACTTGCACCTCTCTGCCTGATGTCAGTTACTCAGGAATATGGAGTTGCTGCATGCAAGAAAACTGATTAGCTGGGCCAAAAAATCTTAATTGAATCCACACAATATTCAAAATAGGCAATGCTGTGACCCTGCACGGGGACCCTCCACTCACAGTCCCCCTTGATATCTTCATGACTTTTTCTTTTTAAAAGTTGTTTTAATCTTCCAGAAAAAACATTCTAAGTTTCTGTTCAGTATCTTTAACTTAACTTAATGTGACAAAACATAAGGTAAAAACAAGTTAGCTTTTCATGCTCGTAGGCAGAAATTCTAGGAGATTCCGAAGGATTTTTACAATAGAACTCAAACCAATCAATAAAATTTCTAGGTTCACATAGTACTGTGACGATAAATGATTATTTCTGTTTTCTAGTATTTGTAAGGCGACATGACAGTGCCAGTGTCACGATTTGAATCCCTCCCCCTTAAGGGCTCTCCGGCTCTTTCGCATTTCACCCGATCTCCTGCAATTGCCTCCTGTTCCAGTCTGCCCTTTAAAAGCCAGATGCTCCCACTGTTCCGGGCTCAGTATTGGAAGACGGATGCCACAAGGTTTGCCTGTTTTCCGGGTTGTCTGAAGGCAAGCCTTTTCCCCGGCGTCCTGACCATCTGCGTCCAGGGCTTGGAGCGCCTGGCCCCGTTCCCTTTTTTATTCCCCCGACCCTTCGCCAGATCCCGTTCCGGCTTTTAACTTAATTTGTCTTTGTCTTGGATTGATCACCTGGCTTTGGACATATGGCTACCCATGGATTTCCCTACGAACACCCTTTGGACTTGTTTGCCTGGACCTTGCCCCCTGAGCACCTTCATCACGCCCCCCCTGTTCGTCTACTAGCCATGTTCCTTGTCTCCTCCCCATGTCTGTTCACTCCCTTCCAGACTGGGCGTTCGCATAGGGTTCTGAAAGACGCTACGTGACAGCAAGCATTTTTCAGAACCCTAAACTACTGTGGGTTATCAGAGATTCCAAATAAAAATGGACACAGTGAACCTGACATTAAGCTGTAATTAAATTGTAACAAAAGCATGGTTTTTGATATCTTCCCTAGTCGTAATTCAGGCAACCTTTGCCTACTACTGTTGCTTTAAAGTGAAGATGTCCTAAGAATTTTACTTAAAATCTTGATAGACTGCCAAAGATAGAACTACTACTGAACTACTGATAGAGTAACGATCATTTATACTATAGATTTATTGTTAAAGGTTTGTGCGTCCTATATTTATTTTTTAGATTTGAAAATGGACAATTAGCATTATACTGTCTACAGTACATATTGTACATAACAAAGCTTTGTAAGTACTGTACCTATGGTATTGGACATTTTCTCTCAAGGGGTCTATTATATCCATGAACACATACTGTGACAATTACAATTATAAATTTTGTGTAGCATGAAATGACGAAACCACTGCAGTAAAAGTCTACTTTAAGGGCTGTTAGTTCAATAACCACATGGATAATCTCATCTACAAAGCATCTTGCTATGTCGGCCTCATTTCCTATGAGAAAGAAACTGAAGTGGGGAATCCATAATAGGACCACACACGGAGTCCTGTCAATAAAACTTGTTCTGCAGGCAGTAGTAACCACACGGAGCAAAATCTTTTCAATTTAAATCATCAAACCATTTTAGTGAAAATGTCATATTTTTCTTCTATTGTCCTTTCTCCAGTGAAATGCTCAGCGTTACAAGGCAGGAAACATCTCATACCTGCCGAGCTCTTCTAGTCTGCATTAGGCGAATGAATGCACACAAAGAGATAGAAGTACACCTGCTGTTGCACAACAGTTTGAGCTATTTCATATTTTATGATGTGCAGATTCCTGAGTATCAGCCAGTGCTTAGTACCAGACATTTTGTGCTTTACCTTATATTCAGTAAACTTTCTAAATATATTTATCATTAAAACCTTCAAATGTATTTAAAAACATTCATTTGTTTGCTTCATTGACATTTTATAAGAATCTGGAACTGGCAATAACTGAAATGGATGATGTTAACACACATTGGTGGCCTTATTTCCATCCTTGAAATATCCAGAATTTTGCCAAGGTTTGTGTAAGTGAAATTACAAAGGAACATTCTGGCATTTACCGAACAACTGAAGACAAAGCTGCACTGGAAATTGAGAACACTTTTGACCTGAGGCATATTCAACCTCAGAGAAGCTTCAGGATAACAGATTTCACCTGTTACGACCATTAAAAAAAGATTAAAACAAACTAACCTATGAGAAAAATCATTTTCAACATTGATCATACTTGAAAGCATGTTAACTGGAATATTTTAAAAATATTGCTTAGGAAAAATCAAGTAAAAGAGAGAAATTTCAAAGGCTTCCACACTATACTATAATGCTGTTGTTAATACTTCAATGAATAGGTTGGCTTTACATGACAAATAAGCTCTCCTTAAAGGACTTATATAACTATGCTATACAGAGCAGTATTAGTATAGCTACTGTATACTGTCTGCTCCATAGTTATTAGTCATATTTTGCATTGTGTTAAAACTACATATTGCCTTATGGATATATTGGAGCAATTTTAACACAAAAGACTAAGATTACAAAAACATAAAAATCCATTCAGAAAAGCATGCTTTCAGATTCTTAGTCACATTTTTGTTTAGCAACAGATATACTGCATTTTCCACACTTTGAAGACGTATGCCAGTGTTCCAACAGCCCCCCCTCCTCCCACCTCCATTGAGTTTCCAGCCAAAGAACTAAGTCTTTATAGAAACAGGCAATAAACACCGGCTCTTAAAACATGATACAAGAAAGGCATGTTGCAAGGTTTGCATATTTATATTCATTTTGTACACTATAAAGGTGTAGCAGAGAAAGGGAACTGCTAAAAAAAAGTGCAGAATCTTGATCTTAATATTCACTGACAGTCCCAGCCAATGTAAGCTCTCAGCAGTGTACAAAAGATGATAACAGCTTTCTATACCAAGAAGCAAGAAAAAAAAATGAAAAATGAAATGCATGCCTTTGCTATTTGTTTTCACTTTAATGAGAAAGATATTCTTACACAGAGACACTTGGAAGAAATGGACAGATGTAAAGTAATAGCTGCTCTGATAAATCAGGAAATTGTGTCCAATATCTTTAATACTGGAAGCAGCTAGATTCACAGCTGTGAAATTCAAATTAAACCCCAACAGGCAGATATGTCTAAGAGCACTCCGCTTGGCTCAGGTTTGTTCTGCTCAGGAGTTTTCCCCTTTATTATAATGAAAGATTTTTTTAACTAGAAGCAAAATTATCTCAAAATAGCAATAGTTGAAATTAATTACTGTACAGCACACATTAAAGTGACTTCAATCAAAAACAAAATCTATTAAAAGAGATAATGTTTCAGATATCTCCTTCTTTAAGATTACAAAGGATATCCCTTTTGAGTAATTAATAACAAAAAATGCTTAAGCAAATATCATTTTCAGATAATTTAAAATAATTCTAAAAGATTTATATTACAGAATTCCTAGACTTGTTTCTTGCTTGCAATTTAAATCTATTTCTTTGAATTGGATGACACTGACATTTTCACAGCATGCAACTCAAAACAGAACGCAAGAGTTGGCATGCAAATGCTTAGGCTTTATGAAAATATTGCTAAAGTTCTTCCTCAAAGTAACCACAATATCTCTTCATAAGGAAAGGATGTCTTACCTGTCTAAGCTCTGTGAAGTACCAGGAGAACCTGTTAGAGCCAAGTGTCTAATGTCCTTGTTTAGTGCATCACTCTGACTTTGGTCTCTCGGCTTCTGACTCAGTCGCTGTGCGAAACGGGCAATCTTGTTCTCTGTCCTAAAGGAACATCAAGAGAAAGTGCTCCTGAGATGCAATCACATGCAACACAAAATTCAGGGATATATAATCCAGTATTCCAGCGAATCCAGCAATGCAGAGGAGATGCTCATGCATGGAGACAGCTGGGAGCACCTGTTTCCTTGGAGTCCGTTGCACGAAGATTTCAGCAGCATGCTTTCTTTCCTTTTTTTTCAATTCAGAAAAAACAGACCAACCAGCGGTAAATCTGCTATCACCAGAGATTCCCTTGTGAAAAGAAAAGATGCTCAGGTAAACAGCTAATATAAAATAAGTCTAAGGACACCAGCAGCTTAGCTCCATTGAAACTACCAGCTTGAATCTCCAATCAATAACATGCAAATAAACTCACGACTGAGCCGACCTGCTCTATATACCAGGAATGCTAATCTACTGCTCTTATTCACAGCCCTTATCTGTTCATAGCTGCTGCCTCTTCTAACAACAGCACAAGCAGTAACCACTCCAAGTGCAGTGGGACATTTGCAACATCATTTCCAAGCTTTAGACTGAGCAGTAAACCACTACAAACGTTTTTTTTATTAATAAATCAGACATCAAATTAAATCCCAGCCAGATCACACCTCAACATTGAGGGGGTCTAATGGAGATGTTTTTTTATGGCTTTTACCTGGTGACATTTGAGCGCAAATGTTCATCTTGGACATTTAATGTATACTGCCTTAAAATAGTATGAATTTATCTTACAAAGAAAGGGGTTAAAATGTCCTATGTTTTATATCTATCATCAAATATACAGATATCCAAAAAACAGATGATTTTATCTCTATTCTGTTTTTCAGTTTACTCTTCTGAACTAATTTAACATAAAAGCACCATTAAGTACCTAGCAACAGCATAAAACATAAAGTGGCTGTTAAGGTTAGAGTTATGATACTTCATCAACAAATATCCACAGTAGTTCTAAAAATTATGGCATATTTGGTACCCCTGTTTGACATTACATCAGCAATGCTTTACCACTTTCTAAAGTGAATGGAAAATAACAAGTATCCTAGCCTTCCTTGGGTGCAGATAATTTTTAGAAAAGGACAGGCATTCATTCACAATTCAAATAACCTACATTTAAGAAAAAGTCTCAGGATACACATGTGGATAAAATAAAAATTGTTCCACAATCACTATGTATAAAGCCATTAAAACTCATTAAATCTCAGTAAATTACAGTGTAATTCACAATTAAGGAATAAGAAGATTGTACTACACCTGAGGGTACCAACATCCTTCCGCATACAGGTTTTTTTTCCATTGGAAAGGGGACGGAATTTTCTCTATTCAGATGGTGCCTTGCAGCACAGTAGGATTCTCTATTTTCCCTCCCCAGAATTAGATAATAACATTAAAAATGTTAGCCTGTAGTGCTAGACAATTAGTTATATTAAACTTTTACTTAGCTGAAAATTAAACCTCAGGACACATCAAAACATAAACACAATAGCCTGACTTGTGAAGCCACGGTGTATGTTCCAGTGATTGTGGGTGTATATTTGTAAATATCTACTGTATGTAAAATAATGTCTTTCCTTGTTTTATTCCAAGATAAATACATGTGGCATGGTTATTGATTCTACAACCTTTAAAAATCTCTCAAGCACACAAAGTATCTACAGTATATATTTTAAATATTGAAAATTCTGAAGAATCTTCAGAAAACCAATACAGAACTGCATCATAAATAGAGTAACAACATTTAATTATCAGTCAGCCATATCTATATCCAGATGGATACATTTAAAATAATTTCTCTTGCTCCATGATAGACAGTTATGCAACAAAAAGAAAAACTTCAAGGTCTGTTCAAGAGCCCTCATATAATGTAAGTATTTCTGCATGGTTTCACAGCATCTCAAAGCCTAGTCATACACTTCCTAATATTGATACAGAGTATTAGCCACATCTTCAAAGAAGCATTCCTTTGTTTGGTAGTGAATAAAACAGGGACACAGTTTAGCACGAAGAGCTAAAGGAAAACAATCATTTTAAATAATGTCAAGAGGAAATATGGCATTCTTTATTTACTGTGGAACTAGAATTTATGCTTTTTGAATCATCAAAAGCATACGGATTTTAAAAAGGGCTTCAAACCAGAGAAGATATATTAAGCTCATTTGGTTGCTTAAAGCTAAATGATTTAAGGTTTTCATGTAGTCATTTTTTAAAGGATCTCAGGGCACAAGCTTAAAAAATTATGGTTAGGTGAATACCCTCCCAACACATCCTTCATATGAAGGTATACCTAATGTTCTTAGTCTTAAATGTACAGTACATCCTTTTAATTTCCATTTGTTTTTCTCACCTGTGTTTCACTTCTTTTTCAGTCTATTCATTTGACTGGGTCAGTACCGTTCAGGATTTTGAATACTTGCTTTGTAATGCTCTTTGTTAAAACGCTAAAGTTCTTTCAGTTCCTCTGTCTTTGCAGGATATTCATTTAACCCCAATAATACCTATTCTTAAACTGATTAAACCATGCAAGCAATTAAAAAGCCAGTAATTGATACAAAGCTGTTATATATAAATGTATATAAAGCTGAAATTGAAAGTCCAAGAACGGAAAGCGTGGCGAGAGATGGCCTATAGAATCGCCGAGAGTCAGATCCGAGTGACCGGATTACATCATCATCATAGAAATACATTTATACAAGTTGTTGGATTTTCGAACTAGTTTGTGGTTTCTGTAGCATTAAGAGGTAAATGGAAATATGCTTGGGTATAACACTAAATATACTGGAGGACTTTGGAAGATGGGAAATATTGTTACACTGTACATCTCAGTGAGGAGAATCCCAACCTCTTTGCACAATCCTGACAAATAGAGCACAACTTGTGTCTGTCGTTTAACATTTTGTTTAATGTGTTCCAAGTTATAACCCAACTGTACATGTACTGTATATGATTTTGACATAGCACTGCACTCCTACAGCAAGCTAATGAATACTCTGTGGCAGCGCAGATGGTTGTACCTCCAAAGGAATTCTCACTACCCAAAGCAAACCACATGGTCTCAGCTGCAGAGGGACAGCAGTATTACCAGCTGTGCCAAAAAGATTAACTTCTACAAGCACCACAGCCCAGGGCAGAACACCCTGCTATGCACCCCATTCTCCTCTCACACTGGGTGAAAGGTATTCTCAGAAACAGAAGGTAAGCAACTAAAAATAAAACCTGTGACATTTGGATACCCTAAAAATTCACTCATTGCCTGATTCTCAGTAAATATCGCAGCTTGACAGAATAGAATGTTCCCTGGAGCTACTACTGACCCTGAAGAAAAACTCAGGAAAAAACATATATACACTTATCTCTATAATATTACAATAAATACCTTTTCCTCATTTGTCAGATTATCCAAATTATTTAAAAACATTTAAGCATTTTTTTTTAAATTGCCTTCTGGAGGGTAATGTTACAAGATACATATGAATGAAAACAGACACATGTCATTTAAGATAAATCTAGTATGCAGCAAATGTAATTTATTTTTTTAAATTTAATCAAACAGCCATTAAGAGAAATGTACATCCATAAAGAAAACAAGCAAGGGCAACAGAGTATGTTGTAAGTCAGCTGTACAGGAGTTTTTTGGTGGTCTATTTTAATGCTTGCTCAGCTGCTGAAAGTCAGGTGTAGGCTCCATTCACAACCAATGGACCACCTTTAGTTTTCTGGAAGAATGTGTTAATATTTCACCTAAGGACACATGGACATTTGTTTTTCTATATTGTTTGAAATTTCAGTTCAATTCAAATTTGTGCAAACCAACCATTTGCAAGTAAGGATATTTAATATTATAGTATATGAAATATTTCACAATCATGTACTTCAGTGGTGAGATACAAGCATCATGAGTCATTCTGAAGCAACACACATCACCAGTAGGGCAACTGATACAAATATTTTATGCTAAACATTAGTGAATGTCATAATGTGTATTATGATGTGTTGGATTTACTGCCTGTTTTGTTCTTTATTACAGTTATTACAGTACATACTGTGTGATGATGACTTGTTCATTTCTAAACTATACTGTACCAATTAGTATATGATGAGGTACTTGTGATTATGCAGTGTGTATCATATTTGTTATATATCATGTGAATGAAGATATGCATGTATTATAAAAGATAGAAACTTGTAAAAGGACATAATTGGAACTCCCAGTTACTGTAAGTGTGAATAACAGAGTTTATATGAAAACATATCTGTAAGATATTAAAGTGGTTAGTGAGTCTCTTTATGATTATGATTAATTATCATTTGTCCATTTTATCACAAAATCTTCACCTAAAAAATCCCTGTAATACAAATGATGACCGTCTGCTTAAAGTGTTAATATTTTAAGAATTATATGGCATTGATTCTTCTATAATCAGAGAAAACAGAAAGGCTAATCCATTGATCTACTTCTTTTTTCATTTCTTAATATCCCAAATTTACTCACACTAAACATAACTTCACTGTGTTATCCAGAAAGATAAAATAGCTTATGTACATTTTTTTAAATAGGCAAAAAAATGTCTAGATGATTTATCTTAATGGTGAATACTTGTGCACAATATTGTTTTGTCTTCAGATTCAAGCTGAACTGAAGTTTTCTAAGTAAACTTTTCCTTCACTTCATTAATAAAATTAGTTTGATATAAAATGTATAACATAAATTATAATAAAAACTATAATGGTTGAACTTCTGCAAACAGAACAACCCATTCTATGATTCTGGTTGAGCAACTGGTTACCAACATATTATGGATTTTTTGGACATTTGCATTCAAACCAGTTTAGAGAGACTATGGGGTGACTGCTGACTGCATCGATAATGCTACAGACACACTTAGAAAAGGATCTCAGTTTTGCTTGTAATCTGAAGGACAAAGAACAAGGTGGATCAGCAACAAGCTCAGGCTAACACAAAGTGCGTCACAAGCAAAGTCAAATCTTGAATCACTGGACCACTCTCT